AAAGGTTTGGGTAGCCAGGCTGTGTGTGTGTGTGTGTGTGTGTGTGTGTGTTGGGTCATGGCGTGGGGATTAGGTGTGTGTGACTGATTGAGGGTGACAGCGGTCCTAGCATTAGGGGCCCTGTGGCAGATTTCTTAGGCCTGTATTAGACACTCTAAGCTGGATTTACCAGCACCAGTGTGTCAGCAGTGTTATAGTCTGCCTGGACCTCCTACAGAACTCTCTCACACATGCACACACACACATAGACACATTTTATCTCTGACCCGCTCTACCTGCAACCAGTCTGACTGTCCCATCATGCCTTTAGTTTCTCTACTCATCCCTTACTGGTCACAATTAAAAATGTCTTGATGGCTGACTGGCATCATGGTGGTGAGCCACCATTGTGATTTAAACTCCACCCCCAAAGCCCATCACAGTGTTTTACTGTAGACATTGATGCTAGTTCAGTAGACATTGCCCTCCCTACTTTGCACAGAATCCAATTCATATTAAAGGAATCACCACAATCATTTGGTTCCCTTAACAGCAGCAAACAAATCTAGGTGCAACTTACTTTGGTTAACCTTTACATGCATTAATAACAAGATGTGTCATCATTGCAGGCTTTTGGGGGGGATCAAAAACAATTTTCTCTGATTCTTTGTAGCGTGGCTTCTGGCCCATAAAACAGTGACTGACAAGACTTTGGAGAGATTGCAATGGACATATTGGAGCTAAATGTAAAAGTGTAAGTGGCATAGAAAGGGTTATTTATTATGATTATAAACTCCTCATAAGCTTCTCACATTTTCAAGTCACATTTTTTGCATCCCACTATTTTTCTTTAGCTTTTCTACAGTGCAGTTGCATGCTGTGTGTAGTCCTGTGCATATGTAGTGACTTTGTGTGTGTTAATCTAACATGGGGTACATGCATGTCTGCATACATATACCGATGCTTGAGTGTGTATTTTTTTTATATTACTTAAGCACTGCAAATGTTTATGTGCACACCTTTGTCCATGAGTGAGTGTGTGCTGGTGTGTGTGTGCCTTCTCACAGATCTCTGTTATAGCCTGTCCATTGTGAAGGAGAATGTTGAGCAAGACCCTGACCCACCGCCGGGCACTAATTAGATGCATTCCTCAGGATTAAACAGCCAATTAACAATAAGAGAACTATTGTAGCCCTGTCTCCTTGTGTGTCACAATTAAAGGGTTTTTTGTGTGTACGTGTTACAGTGAAAGCAAGTGTGACTCTACTTGTGTGTGCAAGAATGTGTTTGCATGTGTGCATGGGGCTTTTGTCATCCAAAAGTGCACGCATGCACACACACACACACACACATGCATGCCTGCATGCTGCTCAGGTTTTGATTTAACGTGCATGCTAGAACTTCATAAAGAGATGACATCTATACTGTGTGCAGTTTTTAAAAAATCAGGTAGTGAATAGCCTGAGATGGGTCCTGCATATCGCATGGTGGTTGGAAGTCATATGATGTGTGTGTGTGTGTGTGTGTGTGTGTGTGTGTGTATGTGCGACACCGTGTTCTTAATGATGCATGTTAATACACATTTATAAAGTAATATAAACAATATAATTACTCTTCTATCCACTGTTCTTTTCTTTTGTGTGCTAATGTTGTGTGCGTATGTGCGTGTTTTTGTGTGCGTTGGGTGGTTATATGCATCAGTGTGGCACGTGTCAGAGTGTGGCTGAGGATTAGTGAGGCTCAGGGCTTGTTGCTCCACTTCCATGATTACAACTGCTGTCTACTGCCATATGGGGTGATGGAGGTGCAGGTGGGGGCAGGGGGTGGTGGATGGGATGTGCATGCTACTGTACCACACTACACACATAGACACACACTCAGAGTCACCCCACCCACTCAAATAATGCCCCCCTTCAAACACATCATCACACACGTTCCTAGAACACACACAACTCATTTCTATAGGAGGTTTTGCCTCACGCATCATATAATATTGGTAGTTTTTAAAATATATAATTATTTGTTCTAGCAGCTAAACACAAAATACATGTTTTTGGACCACATTATTTTCATAGGTGTTTAAAATTCTAAATCTCTATAAAAGTCAAAAGAAATTTTCAAAAATGATCATACATAACTGAGAAAGTGTAAAAAAAAAGATGCCTCATAAATAATTGCCCAAAATCTTGTATTAATACATGATATCGTGTATGCCTTAGAAAATTTGCTTTCAATTCAAATGTGAACCTGATTTTATTATAATCATGTTTTTCACCTAGTGATTATGTACAAAACATTTCTGAGTAATAGACTTTACAGTGTTTTGTTCTGGATATTTAAATGCAACTGAGCTTATCTTACTGAGTGTATGAGTATGAGAGCATGAATAGGTGTTAACCTGTTAAAACCCCAGACGGTGGTCAAGGGGGGAGCTAAATGATGACAGCTAACATGCACACACCATGCAGACCCCACCTGCTGCTGTCTGCAGTGGATTAGAAATCTGTCTACCCACAGAAGACAGCAGGGCACACACATGTACGCAGCAGGAGGTCTGTAGTCTGTGAAATTGATCAAGATGCTGGCCAGACATTACTTACTCATAATCACATTGATACACACTCCTCATTCACATGAAGACTTTTCAGAGGCTGGTTGGGGTAAAACACAAAGCCATTATATCTTAGTTCTTTTGCAGATGCTGTGAAATTCTTTCCAATAAACTGGATTCTCGTCATCCTAAACCTGGAACTGGCTCTTCACACTCCACAGATCCATTTGTCAGCTGGTTAACAATCCTTAGGCTTTTCTTACAACAGT